TAACAAATCGCTTTTAAAATTTGTACTGTTGGTAATTTCCAATGGTATTCTCTTTACTTGGTTTATTCATACTGTTTCCATGCTATTCAGTCAGTTAGAGTTATTATGTCAGTTATAATTTTTAAATTAAAGAACCAAAAAAAACCACCATGTAGCAATGTTGGATAAGTACAATGTCTCTGGAAATACCTTTTGTTTCTTGTCTGATAAACAGTAGTAAACTGCACTACCTGTCCTTTCCTCGAATAATATTATGACTTGGCAACTAAAACAAGATCTTTTCGGATTTGCTTAAATCAAAATTCATTCAAGTCATTTAAATGTACCACTCTTACAATGGGAACGCATCCAAATAATTCTTACATCACTCATTTTAATGATAATTTTAAAGCTGTTTGATGAATTTTCATTTGGCGAAGCTATTTGGAACCATATTCAAATTTTTTCTGGCATAATTCCTTAACTTGAAGTTGAGAGTTCTATTTGTTGCAGGGTTATGCCACTGCGAGCGTCGATAGTGGTAAAAAAAGCATGCCGAAATTTACTCTTCATTACTGTTGTAAACTGTTTAAATGGATAACAGTGGGTTTTTTTGCTGGCAGTAGTACTATCTATTTATATAATTTGTTTGTGCCAGATTGGCGAGAATTGCAAGATAAGAAGCATTATTATTCTGATTGGAAGGTAAAGTTATTCACTTGCTAAGGACCTTTTCAGAAGTGTGATTCTCCGCTCTAATTTTACGTGATCTTAATCCATTATAAAAGAAAGCAAAAATTTATTTTCAAGATTGAAGAGGTTAAAAATATCATTTTTTTAAACTCATAAAGTTACGTTACTTCATTAGTCTGACCAAAATTGAGCTTCCAGTTGTGATCAGACTGATGAAGTAACGCCTGTTGTTATTTGTTTGCGTTAAAGTTTGATCAATTATAAGTTTTTTGGCCAACATGAAGGAATCAAATAAGTTTTAGATGCCATATAGTGGAATGAACAAATTCAATTTGAAACTGACAGTGAAGAGTGGTAAAATAGAGGACTAGGAATAGAAAAATGAAAGATAAAAAACAATAAAAGATAAAAAAAAATAACAATTAGATTTGTTTAGTTAGTTGTTTGATAATTATTTATATTTTATGATTGGTAAAAGTATACTCTAAGGTAAATTAAAAAAAAAATTGTTTCAGTTGCGTGCGTATTCTTCCCTGCCGCTGAATGCACTTTCACGTTTTGGCGGTGGCCTAGCTAATGTTTATATTCCGGTATGGTTGCGACCGAAAATATTCAGTCAGTTTCGTTTTTTCTTCAAATTACGGATTTTGTTGCTTTTCATTTTTTAGTAATGCAGTTTTTTGTGAGACAGATAAAAAAGTGTGATGAAGGGAAAGTTAATTGGAAATGGAGAAACTAGAAAAAAATGTAAAGACAGTCATTCAGAAGGGAGAGACTTAACAAATGTGTTTGTAAAAGATAGATCTTTTATCTTTTTTGGTAACTGATAAAAGTATTAACAGTTGGAATACAAATTCGCCAATTTAAAACTATTAGGAAATAAAAAAATATTATGTGGCATTAAAAAGATGCGGAATCATCATGTTTAAACTGCAAAAGAACTGAGTATTTGAAGCAAAAATTCTGTGATGTCAACAATAATGTCAAATAATTTCTCAGATGTATATGTTCGGGTGTATGACTGCCGAATGCATGAAGCTGAAGTGGAAGATTTATCAGCCTATCCGACATTAGCAGCATTTTTCAATAGATCATTGAAATCCACAGTTAGGCCTATTAGCGATGCAGATTTGGTTTGATTTTTTCTTCATGCATTAGTTTTTCAAAAAAAAAGAATCTGTAACTAAGTGGAAAATAAGTAAGAAGATTTCATTATAAATTGACGAAAATTGTAATAGTGGAAGTCTTTTTTATTTTCTTGTATTATATTTTATTAATGATTTAGTTTATTACCTTTACAGGTTTCTCCAGCTGACGGAATTGTGATTCATTACGGAAAAGTCAATGAGGGCCGGATTGAATTCGTGAAAGGCCATGATTATGATATTGCCGATTTTTTAGGATCAGTGAATATGCAAAACAAAAAAGTGAATTTTATGTTATTAATTAGATTTTTTTTAAAATTGGTAATACTATTCCAATAGAGTGATTTTCACATTGAATTGAACCATCCTCATAATTATTAAAAATGAATAATTGCAGAAAGGACACGAGCTTTATCAACTAGTACTTTATCTCGCTCCTGGCAATTACCACGGATTTCATGCCCCCGCAAAATGGGTGGCAAATGAGGAAATACATTTCCCCGGTAATTTCTTATTCTTCACAAGTTTGTGTAATCTTTTTGTTTGTTATTTCATATCATATATCACTATTTATAGGATTATTATTGTCAGTACGGCCAGCATTGCTATACCGCATACCTCATTTGTTTTGTGTCAATGAACGAGTTGTTTTAAAAGGATCCTGGAAACATGGTTTTTTTGCAATGAGCGCTGTTGCAGCTACAAATGTTGGGGATGTTTCGATAGACGCAGTACGTGAATATTTTGATATAGCTATTATTATTTTTCTCTCTTGAGATGAATTGAATTTTTTTGATTGAAATATTTAAAATTTCCGAAAAAAAATTTTATTGAAATATTTAGAAAAAATTTTTGATCATAAGAATTGGGAGAAATGAAGTTGGATTTGTGATCGGAAAGCAATTTATCGATTTTATTGGCATTAATCCTTGTAGGAATTGCAGTTTCATTTCGCTCAATTTAGGACCCATTGCTTCACACTAATATCAAACGATTACGAAAAGAAGTGTCCAATGCACTGCCAGTAATTACAGAACTGGAACATGCGTACCTACCAGGTGATAAAGTTGGAGAGTTTCGGCTGGGATCAACGGTTGTTTTGGTAAATTTTCTCTGTTTCTTTTTTTAGTTTTGCTTACATCATAATAACATATATTAATTGTAAGTATTTCACTAAACACTAAATTTTGCACTTAGAGCACGTTTTTTTAATTTATCTGATTAAGCTTTGATCGGTTTTGACTATAATATGATTGTCCTAGAAAACTTTTATTTTAAGTAATGACAAGCTATTTTTTAGTATTTAATTAACAATTTTTACAGGTATTTGAAGCTCCTCCAACTATACAGTTTGCGATTCGTGCTGGTGATAATCTACGATATGGTCAAAGCCTTGTTATTAGTGGTTTTTGATGTTGTTTAACAACATATTTTGATGTTTGAATGCTTGTGTCACACGTTGCAAAACGGGTAATGTCGGTATAAGAAATATTAATTTCATTTTGTTCTATTTACAAACACTTGTTGATGTCGATAATAATATTTTTTGGAAATTTTTCGTAGTTTGTACTTATGCTTTTACTTTGTATAAAGAGATTTCAGACGTATATATTTTTTAAATGCATGCTTCTGAATTTTGAAAATTTATGATATGAAGAATGACTTTGCAATACTCAATGTTTGCTTCAATTTCATAGCAGTATAAGTATTTTTCATTTAAACATCTTCTTTCCGTAGAGCAGGTATATTCCAGTTCTGTGCTACGTACCGCAGCTCATGTCATTATGCCACTGACCATTCTTATATCATAAGATGTCGTAGTCAGTTTCTAGTATTCTCGCATTCTCAATATATATAGCGTTTACATCTCTACACTACCCAAGACGTTCTAAGTTTACTAGATTAATCAGACTGAACTAGTATTTTGTACCGTGAGCCACAGCATCAGAACACCAAGCATAGCTGATTCAGGGAGATAGAATGCTAAGAACAGGATATATTGGCCAGTAATTAGTTGGTTAGCGGAAATTACATTCATAATTTCAAGATTTACTTCACATTTCATAGCGTACTAAAATGAAAAGTCATGGTATGAGATTGCTTGGTATCTTGTTTGAAAGTTGGAATGGACATGGTGAACAATTTGTTATTTTTTCTTTGCGACAACTTGTCGCTTTATTTTGGGACAAACAACGAACTGCGAAATTTTTCATAATGTTGGCTCTTTTTGACTCTTAACTGAATTTTAATCTTATTTTTTTATGTCTGCAATATTCTGGTCAATATACTTATGATTAAATTATAGAAATGCTTTTTTAGGGAGTTCTGTCTATTTCTTGTATTTCAGTGAATTAATCGCGACAATTTCGTAGCTAAAAAATTTGGTAAATTACAATTTTTATTTATATTGATTATTCTAGGATGGTTTTGGATATTGATTTGTTTCGAGAAGAAAAAGGCGGTGATCCGGAAATGATACGAGATTCACAACGAAAACGATATAAGGATGTCAAACTTGTTGACGATGTTATTGATTATGATCAAAGATGGAGAAAACGTAAGGAGAAGATTTGATAAAATTCAGAAAAGTTTGTAAAATGCATAATCATTTTTAATCTCCTTTCTTTTTCCCTTTTCAAGTTAGTTTTAGTTCACAAATGTAAGACCGTTTTTAAATAAACCAGAAAATTAAAAACTTTTTCCAGTAACCAACTTCCAAATAGCTAAATAATCTCTGTCTCCAGTCGATATTATTGTAATCTTTGTATCATTCTTTAGCTTAAAAGATAGTGGAGTACTTGTAGTGAATAGTCCGGTTAAGAGAACACTGCTATTATGCATGATATCCTGCGTGGTGTCCTATAACTTGAAATTATATGTTCCTGTCTCATGTTTAGTTTTTCTTTTGACTCAAACCTCACGAGCGAGTGTTAGACAAACCGTATTGCAACTGTTGAAAAAAAAGTTACGAGATATCAAAACCATTCGATAATTTATTTAAAATTGAAATTTTTAAGTCGTGTAGAGGAACGTTTTTTAAACATTACCGGTAATGGAGAATGGAAATTATTAAATCCAATGAAATTGGCTTATTACAGTACAGAAATACACCGGAATTCTTTCTCAGTGAAGCCTGTCAAATATCCAAAAACAATAAATGATGTGGAGCAGCAAAAAAAATTTTTTTTGCGATGTATTACTGTTAAAACAATTTAAATAAAGATAGATAGCAAAGTCGAGATTTTCACATCAGTATTGAGCGCTCATAAATATTTTATCTCATTAAAATATTTCAGTGGATTTCTTGATTTAGCAAAATTTAGTTTTTTATTGTATTTTCCAGATCGCTTCTCCGCGGACAATTTCAACAGGCTAATCAATTTATGTAGCAAAGTCATTGGAGACAAGATGAAGGCATGTGGTTTTTATTTAATATTCAGTAATGTTGTTATTATTAATATAAACAGTAAAAATTTCAGAAACAAGGATCAATTGGTAATGATCATACCGTACCAGCCGATTATATGGAACGGTTAGATGTACTAAGTATTGATGACATAAAGGTAAGCAATCCTTTATTCATTTTGAATTTATATGATAGTAGTTGTTTCCATTAGTATTGCAATTTATAACAACATTGCAGTAGTTGTGATAATTTGTTCGATGAAATATAAAATAAATTTACAAATAATTGCACAAGACAATTTTTTAATTTTTTAAACTTTAAACTTGTTTAAACTTGTTGTTTAGACAATTTTTTAATCATTCACTCTTATTTTTAGAGTTTGAACATATTGCAAATTAAAAAACTAAAGAGTATGATTGATGAGAAGCTCATGGAAAAAAAGACAGAAATGGAGAAACTTGATGCAAAACGCCAGGAAAAGCTTATTCAAATAGGCAATATTATACATCCCTCGGTGCCTGTCAGTGATAACGAAGACAACAATAGAGTGGAGAAGACTTTTGGTGACATCAAAACCAAGAAGAAATATTCACATGTGGGTTGATTAAAACCCAACTGTGAGAGCAGTTTTTCAGTATTGATGCGTATCATATAATCTTTTATTTGGTGCAATTCATGTAGAGATTTATTTCTGTGAGTGAAATTCCTTAAAAATGATTCTTATGATATTGTCGTATTGCATATCCTGTTTGTTTATTTCACGTCATTACTTAATTTTTTACGTTTAGATAGATCTTTGTGTGATGATTGATGGCTTTGATGGTGACCGTGGAACTTGTGTCGCTGGTGGCCGCGGTTATTTTTTGAAAGTCGGTTCAATTAATTGCTTTTAAAATTGATTGCATCTTTATGGAAGATTGTACGATCGTATTTGATTTTGTTTAGGGTCCATTAGTATTCCTGGAACAAGCAATTATCAATCTTGCTTTACAAATGTTACATTCCAAAGGCTTCATCCCACTTTACACTCCATTCTTCATGCGTAAGGAAGTGATGCAAGAAGTGGCACAGCTCAGTCAATTCGATCAAGAGTTATACAAGGTCTCTTTCCCACAACATTTGTCCTTACTGCTTTTAATGTCTGGCAGAAATTGACTAAAAAGTTCATGGACTTCTTTATAATTCATTATAGAAAGTATTATAACAGGTTACTGGCAAAGGTTCTGAAGTCATTGGAGACGAAACCCATGACGAGAAATATCTCATAGCCACATCCGAACAGCCAATTGCAGCTTATCACCGAAACGAATGGATTGGTGAAAATGAACTGCCAATTAAATATGCTGGTATATCATCTTGTTTCCGCCAGGAGGTAATTACATTTTTTTAACACCATTTAATAACCCATCAGAACCAATATCAACCTAGAACTTGCAGGTTGGAAGTCATGGTCGAGATACTCGTGGTATGTTCCGAGTACATCAGTTTGAAAAGGTCGAGCAGTTTGTTCTATGTTCTCCACATGATGATAGAAGCTGGAAAATGCTTAATGAAGTAAATTCTGCTTTTTCTTTCGCTGTTAAAGTGTTGGGAGTTACCAATTATCTGACATTAATGTGTTAGACATAAAACTCCCCAGTTGCAGCTTATCAGCAAAAAAATGATTTACATTAGAAGAAAAAACGAATGGATTAAAAAATAAGGATGAACTTAATAGAATAGACAGCTTAGAAAGTACTGATTAAGACTGGTTAAGAAATCGTTTGTCGATTCTTGCATTATTTCACTTAATGTGGCACTTATTATATCCACTTAGATGGTCGAAAACTCCGAAGATTTCTGTAAAGCACTTGGTATACCGTTTCGTATTGTCTGCATTGTTTCGGGAGAACTAAATAATGCTGCTGCGAAGAAGCTTGATTTAGAAGCGTGGTTCCCAGGCAGTGGTGCATTCAGGTTCTTTTCGTTCTTTTATTTGTGCATTCTTTTGAAAACTTTGATTTTATTTTATATTTTTGTAGATTTACCTTCAACATTGACTTTAAGTAATAATTATTCAGAGAATTAGTTTCTTGTTCGAACTGTACCGATTATCAAGCACGACGTTTGAAAATTCGTTATGGGAGAACGAAGAAACTAGAAAGTGAAGTATGTTTTTTCTTTAATTGGTTCTATTGAGAGTTTATCGTAGGGTTCAGAAGGTTTTGCGAAATTTAAAGATATTTGAATAAATTATGTTCTAGTAATTTGATTATTTAGAATGTTTAGTAGGAATTGTCTATTTACTTTGCATAAGTATACCAGTTTATCTTATAAGGTACCGTATGTACACATGTTGAACGCAACAATGTGTGCAACTACACGTGTATTATGTGCGCTGTTGGAAAATTATCAAGAAGAGCAAGGTATACGTGTACCGGAAATTCTGAAACAGTTTATGCCAAATCCCTACAAAGAACTAATACCATTCGTTCAGGAAGCACCCATTGAAAGTGATTGAAAAGAAAGTAAATTAATTGTTACTATTTATATTGCTGAGGTAAACTTGAAGTAATTATTCTATATCTTCATTTACTGTTTTCTTTTCTTAAAAAAAATTTCCTTTCAAAAATTTATGCTGCAAATGTGTATCATTTAGCTTTTACTTTTTTTAATAAAATTTGTTGAAGATGGACATGTGTTGTTTTTGATTTTAAACTTGGCTTTCTCCTGTTACGTCTGTTTTGACTTCGCCAAATAAATATAAAGAATATATAGCATCATTCGATATAAATACTTTATAACATTATCTGTAAAACAATAAGCAACGCGATCGATTTTATTATAGGCGTGATCCCTGCTGATATGAAGCATTGCTAGGCTGGATTAAGTTTGGAAGCTGTAACACTTTGTTATTTAGCTAAAATTCACAATAAAAACAAAAATGACCGATTATCATTGATGCAAGAACTAACATCGATGACTTTCAATTTGTTATCATTTTGTTATCAGAATAGATAAAGGACAGGTCATACCTAAGAATTCCGTTGTCACTGGAAGGCAATATTTTAAACAGCTGAGCAGTTTGGTACTTTATCCTTCATTGAAGAAATATTGTTGTAGCTGACATCAAATCAATGAATTATCATTGATCAATGAATAACTCTATTCTGTGAACTTTTAGACGATGTGAAAAACTGGTCCTAGAGGATATGATTGGTGCGAGGATGTTTACTAGCCTTTTGTTATTTGTATCTTCGATGGTTTTCTTTGGAATTGGCTAGCAGTACTGAAGGGATATATCTAGAATGTTTAATTTATTTTCAGCACTTGTCATGATAAAGATGCATTTTCAATCAATCATTTCAATCATTTCATTTGAAGTAATAACCTGGAGAGTAATTTTAAAAAATACAGATATAATTGGGATCTTCAGCGCTATGATTCCAATAAAGTATGCTAATGGCTTATAAGTGCAAATTAAAATTGCACGACTAATTTAGATATCACTTGTGTTGAACAATGTAATATGCAAAACAGTAAATAATTACACCGGTTTTAACGATCTTTTTTGATACAAGAAATAACTCTTTCCGGGAATGATGCGCTTTTTTTTCAAGAATTATTTTTATCTGAGAAATGTTACAAATGATTCCCATTACTCGTTAGAAACTCATCTTAACATCATGCATATTACAGCATATTGGACTTTAAAAAAATAAAACAGTATTGTGAAAATAAAAAGGTTGAGGTATATTTGCTTTCTATTTTTCTCTTCTTTAATTTTTGTTTGATTTATTTTGTCGAAAGGACTTGTCCGAGTGAAAAATAGATGCATGAGATAAATGTTCACATAAAAAGTGTGGAAGAAAGTGCAATGACAGAAGAGAATTATCATAACTGTGGGAAAGAACGACAATTTCATGAATCAAAAAAAGTAACAATTTTATGCTTCTTTAAATTTTCCTCAACATTGCAAAATTGATTAGCTACCGAACAAATACAGTTTATCATTGGTGACAAACGTGTCGCAATGACAAAATAGCAGTGAAGGGATGAATTTTTAAGGGAGATGGGAGGAGCGCGGATTGTATTGTATTTGTGTTGTGAATGAACCGGTTTATCGGCGTGAATGGTATAGTCCAGGTGTAATAGCCTTATCGTTGTGATATTGAAGGTCACTGACCTTAACATTTGATGTATTGTCGTTTTTCCTCGCTATATTACTATCCTTTTTTTCAATTATAAGAACAAATTGCTCTGATTAATATGTCTGCAATGTGTACTACTCCTTCAACACAGGTATGCTTCTCATTTTTATTGAGATAATTCATTTATTGAGGTAATTTAGCATGATTAATAATGAATGGATTGCTGAGGGATGAAAGTCGAAAGTATTGAATTTAAGATATGATTATAAGTTTTAGTCACGAGAAAATGCTATAAGTTTCTCATTGGTCATTGTCATTTTGTGCTGAATGATAAGACGAAATCACAGTTATGCTTGTAATAGCGAGTACTACCAATTTTTTTTCAATGCTTTTTTATCTTCAATAAATACAATTTATATTCCTAAGATGGAATTGTTAATTTTGCTCATAGATTTTCTTAATAGCATTTAATTAAGTCATTTTGAAAGATTGTTTGAAATTATAGTGTAAATTCAACTTAAGCATCTATTAAATTATAGTGCTAAGTTTGAAAATGAGAACATTTAAAAGAATTTAGTACACACAAAACGAGTGAGGATTTGGAAGGAAGGAATATCAGTTGGAAAAATTCACGTGCAGGAGAATTGACTGGTTCCAAATGTAGAAATACTCTGTTTATAACTCATTTAGCAAAATTTTTTATAAAATAATTTTAACAAGTAAATATTGTTCTTGAAGATTGTTCAAAATATAATTCACAGAGTGAGATCAGCAAGTTCTCTAAAAAGCAGCTTCTTGTGCCATCACGTTATAATATGTGCTTCATTGAATTAAGACAATTTGACCGAATTTTGGAATAAATTTTGATCATTACAAAAAAAAAAAACTCTTGACACCAATTTAATGAACATATTGAACAGAATGAAATTAATTTTTTACAGTATGTCAAACCCTCTCTTTACCAAACTAAATAGAATTTTAATCTAAGCGAAATTAATTAATCAAAATCGTCCATCTAAGGCATTCAAATTTTTTCATCAATTAAGATTCTTAAATGAATTACTTTTGAACTTTGTTAACACATTTTTAGCATTTACAAAATTGGTCAGCGGAAAAATGCAGAAATGGATCACAAAAGTCGCAGAAAAATTCAATTAATTCAAATACTGTCAACAGGTATGAAGCATACGATATGAGCATTTTCACTTTCACATTGCAGCGGGTAATCAATTTTACTATTTCAGCATCATTTCATCTCTCCATTCCTTCTTCATTGCCATCTGTTCCATTCTTCTTTGAATGACGAAATGATTGCATCATTTTACTTTTGTTCTTCATTGTTTTAGGCTTTTTGGTAACATTTGATGGTATCATTGGAATTATTAGAAACTCAATCAATGAACATTTTATTATTTGTTTATTTTTCCAAAAAATTTAAATTAGTAAAAGTTCGCATTGCTCATATCATATAAAAAAGTATATTTGGGATTTAACTTAATTATCAGGTGTATGCATCTCAATGGTATTAACAGTAACGTGGAAGAGAGCAAAGATCTCATCCTTTACAATTCACAGGCTCTTCCTTTCCCTGTGATACCACAATTATGGTATACTCCTCAACCTTTCATACCGTATTACTTCACCTCACCACCACCACAGTATCCCTCGCTCATACCGTATCTGTCATACTATTCGAATGCAACGGTAAGTGAAAATGTCATTTAATATGACTTTGTACATTGAAGATATGAATAGTATTATGTCAAATGTTGTCAGTTTTTCTGAGAAAAAATCATGGTGCAATTTAGTTGTACATATCGCCGTGAGGGAGCATAATGAAGTATGTGTGGTCATTATTTTGTCAACGCCGTGTAATGACCGTCAGATAAAACGACTTGAATAAGATGGAGGGTGAAATAACTTAACATTACCAATCTTTTTGCCGGTAAATAACTGAATTACTATCATTTATTTCTTGTATACTAACACTGTTAGTCTATTTAGCAATGGTAAGTAGACTAACAGTGTTAGTATACAAAGAATAAATAGCAATTCATGTTAATAAATGGCTATCATTTCAGCCAGCAATTCGAAAACAAAAATATCAGGTCAAGAAAGTGCGGAAGCCAAGTAAAACTCATTTCTGGTGTGCTGGAATAGGACAACTATTATGGACAATAGTCGTGATAATTGCGCTGGGACTGCTCGCAATGCTAATACTTGCGCTTCTTGTTATTTAGATACGTTGTTTGATAACGGCATAAGAAATATAAGAATTTACTCCATAGTTTGGACATGAACTCAATAAGTATCAAAATACCATTTCTATCCATATAATTTCGTATTGGGAGATTATCTCATCTTTAGCTAAGCTAAAGATCCGGGAAAGAAACTCAAATATAAACTAACAGAAATCATTGTATGGAAAGGCTGCGAAGCTTTCAATTACAACTTATGTTAACTAATTCGCCCTAAAAAAGATTTTGCACGATGGGCTCGAATAAAATTATCAGTTCCAATGTTTTGTGATATATCAAGTCAATTCCGTTTCTGGAAAATTGTGTAAATTTTTGATTTCTTGTATGCAAATGTACTGTAAATATCGTTTATATATAAAAATGAAAAGCACGGTAATTTTGTTCATCGTTTATTCAAAATCTAATACAACGATGTACCGAGATATATCTTACCGTTGGAGATAGCAGAGATGAAATATACGCCATTATTGATCTGGAAACTATGAGTGTCACTGTTACTAATGGAAATAGTAAGATACTGTGTTAGGATACTTATTTTACAGAAGTTTTATAGCATTACTTTATTACAAATTTTGAAATTAAAAGCTTCTACAATTCTTACATTGTGCAGAATGAATTAATACAATAGCATGTTACAATTGGTTACGCACATTTTTTCAATATAATATTGGGAAATTTCTGAATTAAATATATTGCTGAAATGTTTATAGACAAAAGTTTACTCATATGATGTTAGGTTCTATGTCTGAAGTTGAACCGACAAAATATTTAGTACATATACTAGATTTGTAAGCAAGCAATTTACATTTATGGAATTGTCATCAAAAAAAGGTACATATAGATTGGTGATTACTGCACGAGTGCTTTGTTTTGAATTGTCATTTGAATTATCACAAAAAAATAGAAAAACAGAGGGATTGGTGTAAAGATGAAAAAGGATGCGGATGCGCAATAAATTCACTTGTTACTATTCTTCATAAATAGTGACATTTAATGTTTAAATAGTGAAATTTAATATTATCAACAAATAAGCGAGAATCTAATATACATTACAATGTAAAAAACATATATTATAGCAAGAAAGTGGTTATGATACAAATAAATTATAACTGAGCTGCCAAATTATCATTCCCAAGGAAGGATTTTTTCAGGAACTTATTGCTTTATGAATGTTTCTTCAAAAAAAAAACATGTCAGCTTCAGGGCTTCGAGGAATCGATCATATTTTTTCATTTCTGTTAACAATAAAATCAACAATGAAATCAATGCTTGTAAAACTTTCAAATTTTTAACTAAAGGCAGTAGCGTCAGAAAGTAAAGTTAGTTGTAGCTTATTTAATTTGCAGCAATAAAGTTAGTCGTGATTTTTCTATTTTTTGGTCTCTCTTTCCATTTTTTAAGTTTAACCATTAATTTATAAAGTTACAAAAAGTGGACGATTTTAATTTTCAATAATTGAAATTTAAGGTAACAAAATTTAATTTGATGGGAGTAAAACAGTGATCAGGTAAAGATAAGCAGTCCTCCGCTAGAAGCTGGAAAAAATTTTTGAAAAGCTCATTGCTCATACACACTGATTAAAAAGCAGACAACCATTTATCTAAGTTCAATGCTCCACAGTCAAATGCTATAAAACTCAATAATCTAATCATCAAAGTCAAAAACTTCATGATTTCAAAAAGGATGAAGACATAAAGCAGAGGAAAGCTTTAACAGCTGGATTTTTGATGAACTTTAACAGCTGGATTTTTTTTTTGATGAACTTTAACAGCTGGATTTTTTTGCGGCATAAAGACAGATTTCAGCAACTTGATATAATAAAGTTCAATCACTATTAATTTTGAGAAAAAAATTCATATTCCTTACTACACTTTTCGGGGAACTATCAGTGATCCAAAATCCGAAGATTGCCGGAAACAATTTTGTTTTCAAAAATGGTTCCTGGCGGAATATCTATACGATCACCATGGTTTGCTATTATTATTACCGTGCCCTAAAACGCAAATATATTTCTGACATGATATCCAACTAAAATGAAATATATAAACGTAAATGGAATCCATGAGCACAAAGAAATTGAAGAATTTTTATAGAAAGAAAGATTGGAAAAATTACATGGACTGTACGATAGTTTTTAAAAATGTGTGCTAAGTGATGAGTGATTCAGAATTCTGGAAAAAATAAGCAGAAGAAAATATTCTTTACAGAGAGGGATTTCCAACAATGAGCATAACAAAGAAATACCTTTAATGTAACATCCTTACCGAACCATACATCACCAGACACTGTTAAATGATCCAATTCAAGCAGATCTGGGATGCCCTCAAAACGTTTCAAATATTCTTGTACCTAGAATGATTAGCAGCATTAGTCTTTTCATCCCGGTTAAAAATAAATTTTCATACCTAGTCTTTCTGAAGTAATGACATTTACCACTTCAAAAAGTGACCTCAAACAGTTTAAAATGAGCTGCATGATAAAGATAGCCATATTTTTTGAAAACAGAATTGAAATAGCATCTAAAAAGTAACTCACTTTGTCGAAAAAGCTACCCAATTTAACAAGTGGTGTTGTTGGGAAGGAACGAAGACGACTTAATGTTAGATTACCATTATCGATTTCATATAAATTTGACATAAGCAATAAAAGATCCGAGGTTGTCTTGACAGGAAGAAACCGTGAACGAGGAACATTAATTCCTGCAAAAAAAAGGAAACAGAAAATAACTTTTTAAAAAATAGTTTTGTTATGGCTAAGAAATTCCAGGAAACAACATGATTATGAACAATTAAAAAAAATACCGTATGCTCCTTTGAAATTTTTGATAGCGGCACCAGCAGCAGTTTCTAGCTGTATCACATCGACATCACGATCCAAATGCTTTGGATTAACGATCACTTCCATTTCCAATTCTTTTTGTTCGACCACTCGCTTAATTGCATTTAATTTGGCCCATAAATTGTTTGTATTAAATATCCTATAATATTTCAACAATTTTATTATCAATATCAACAAAGATTTTTCTTACTTAAACTGAATTGAAATCAAATTTAAATAGTCACTAAACAAACCTGAATTTGCTTACACTTTTAAATTCATCAACGTAATCTTTCGGTACTTGAGCAATCTCCAGTAACATCAATCGGTCCTCATATTGAATCAGTGTACCACCCTGAAGTTTATACAGATTGATTCCATTAATGAATGTAGACTCACTAAAAAATTTGTCGAATTTCTTTGAAATTTTACAAGAAAAAATTAACTGTGATATGAATTATTATAAACGGACCTTAATATCGGCTCTCGTCTTATCAGTAACCTCCATTACAAATTCCGGTTGCTGACCATTTACTTCCTGCACAATAAAATTTAATACATTCATATCAACTGTCGCACCCATATTGTCAATATTTGATAGGAAGCAGAACTAAAATAAAGTTAGATTGAAATGAAATGCTAGATGCTTAAATTTATCAAGTAAGTATATTGTTAAAAATTATTAAACTACTTACTGAATTCATCTTGACTAATTCATGCTACTTAATCAGTCTAAATATTGGGTACTGATTTGAACTTTATGTGAATAAAAGTAATTCCAGTAGCTATTATGAATACTTAAAATCGAATTGAATTGCTATTTAATCCAGAAAGAAACATTCCAAAGCTTTGCATTCAGATATATTTCTTTTTGGATTGAAGAGCGTGTACATATCTGATGCTTTGCCAAATATTTAACCTGTTTTCCATCCTGAAGAAACTTGTCCAAAAGTCCTGAATTATAAAATGCTTCATAGAAATTACCATGACCGGGTGGATACCACCTAAAAAATATATTAAGCTGATGAGCTATCTGAAATAAAATAAGAATGATTTCACATGAGAATAATAATTTGAAATATAA